AGTAACATTAGCACAGAGGCTAACACCGTAACATTAGCACAGAGGCTAACACCGTAACATTAGCACAGAGGCTGATCCAGTAGTGAAAAAACTAACCCTGTAACGTTAGTGCAGAGATTAACCCAGAAATGTAAGCACAAAGCCTAACTAACCCAGTAGCACAAAGGCTAACCCTGTGAGTAAGGTACTTTCATGATTGCTGTTTTGCTTGTGTTAATATGACTATGGCATGTAACAGATTTATTTCTTTATTCTGATATTACTAAAACACTGAGAGAGTAGCTTTGTGTGTTTCAAAGCTTCATAGATCTTCTTCCACTGTGCCATAGAACTCCATTATAAACACATCACTGAGCCACTGTGTTGCACTAGGTGACATGTTCCGTCATTACCATGAACACACATACTTTTATTTTACTCAATCCCACATACACCATCCTGCTGCCACAAATACTCACTAGAGCACCAAATACAAATGAATCAATGACTGAGAATAGTTATAACAGCACTATTTCTCTTAGATGTTCTTAGACTATTTCTCTTAGATTACCGAGCCTTTCAAAAAAATTAAGCTATATATTTGTGACTTGTTTTTTAAGACTAACATTTTCCGTAACAACAAATGGGCTTGGTGCTGCGAGCCATAGACAGCGTAGGGAAGTCAGAAAGAATTGAGAGACAAAATGACACATAAGTTGATTTGCATGGTTGTTGTTGTGCATAGGATTTGTTGACAGTTTCATCCCTTAAAATTGATACAGGGGTTATGGAAGTCTGGTTTAGGTTAAAGATCAAATTTATAAAGAAAATAATGTCAGTATGTCGCAATGCAATCTAAGACGTGAATAAATCAATGTTGAAATCCTGAACAGTAGTTTTTCATGGAAAGAACATTTAGAATAAATACTACAGAGATAAACATTTGAACATTTTTGCTCTGATGGGAAAGGGTTATTTGCCCGTATCTTGCATCAAAGATACTATCTGATTTGTCAATTATTGATTCAATTTGTAGCAGATAAGGACATTTACACAGTAGGGGTCTGTTATAGTCACTGTGTTATTGCCAGCGCTGTAGATTTACCTTCCCTCTGTTAACTTCTGGCTTGTGTAGCTATGTCCACTGCAATGCACTTCAAATGCCATTTTTACACAATTGACAATATGTAGCAAATGAGAAGGTGGTCAATTTGATGACACTAACAAGTGAGCATAACAAGCTACTTGCAGTCATCTCTGCTCAGCCGAATGAGTGGACCACGCTCTGCCTTCTCCTTGACGCCCGACCGAAGAACTGAAAAGGGAACGCATTCCTTAGAGACAATTAGCGCCCCGCAGATCCAGTCTGCATTGTGAACACTGAAGTGTTTCCTTTACAGGACCAAGGACAGCTCCACAGTGTTCCTGCAGGCGAGTGCATGCAGTTCATTAGAGAGATGGCTGGCACTGCAGCAACCAGCATCAAGACCTGACTATTATCTTCAATCAGACACTCCTGGCCCTGTTCACACACACACACACACACACACATAGTTCAGTATGTAAACTGCTGCAGGCCTAAAGTAGACATCTCACGTTGACGGGAATGATTTCAGAGACATTTGAGGGATGTTTCAGGGCGATTGGCGTGCAGAGTGAACAACAGCTGTAAACCTTTATTAGAAATGCTCTTGATTTTTGTGGTTGATTATGATAATAGAACTCAAAACAACAATGGCAGCTCCCGAGCTAAGTTTCTGCAACAGCATCATTTATATCAGAATTGGAGAATATTTCTTTTTTGAAAGAACAAAGAACCACACTGAAGGCCCTATTACATGGAAAAGATATTGTTTGCTCTTCTCCCGACTCCCTACGATACAAGTTCTATATTTTTTGAGTACCTGCCCTTTTCCAAACAGTTTTCAATGACGGCTTCTCAGATGGTTCTGTGTAACAGACAATCTGGATGCTCAAGTTAAGTAAATTAGTCGTTTGTGCTGAAACCAAATAAAGTGTGCAAATAATGATACTCAACTTGTTTTACTGTTGTACATGGTGCATAATGCTCCAATTGTCTAATGCATGCTGGCGGTTGAAATATGTTTTTTAATAGCTTCTAACTCACAGTCCATTCTCAGGAAGTCATTGAGCAGCTGGAAGAGGGGGAAACTGTCCCAGCTGTCGGGCGGCTGAACCTCAAGAGCTGCGTCCATGTCGGCCGAGTACAGACACAGGAAGGTCTCGGCATGCTCCACCATAAGGTCTGACCACCACGCAAACGCCTGCAGATGAAGAGAGGGAAAGACAGAGAGGAGAGAGAGAGATAGAGTGCAGGGAGTGGAAGGAAATCAACAGGGTGAGAGTGAAAGAGAGGAGACAAATTAGACAAAGAGAGGGCACATACGAGTGCTGGCCATGGGCACGTCTTTAGGAATTCACTGCTAACAATTTGAATCTCATTTACCATAACGGCCGACGATGTAATGCAACTCCACTGATCTATTGCAAGTGTTCTTGGCTCTCTGTCTCTCCCTTTTCACCATATGAAATCAAGTTGTTGCCACTGCGAGATCTCCGGGGAAGCATTCTTCACAACTCACAGCAGTAGAAACAGCGCTTGGGCACGGAAAATCACACGCTTTTCTGCTGGCCCACAGAGGACACAGCAGCAGCTCCTTGACAGGCATGGCAGGGAGCTACTTAAACACTCACCCGCAGCTCCTTCTGTGAGTCAATCAGAAGAAAGGAGCTAGCGAGCTGCGTCTCGCTCGTATCCCCCCATCGAGTAGACGCAGTGGATTGACTGTTAGGGACAGGGCTCTCTCATGCACATCAAAAACACTCACTTTCTTCCATGCACCCCCACTCTTGCCAGGCCTCTTTAGAGGGACCCCTGAGGAACCATGGTGTTTGCTCATTCACATCAAGCTGTCAACACTGTAATGTGAATGTACCCATGGGCTTTCATGGTTGTGGTGGTGGTGGAAGGCGAGGGGGCATGCACTTGCCATGGGAGCTTGTAGCATTGGGTAGTAGGTGTGAGATAGTTCGCAGGAAGGTACATCTAGTCAGTGCCACTCATGTAATCATCACTTTTACATTTGAGGAATAAGTTGTAAAACTAAAAGGATGTGTCAGGATGTTTCTTAAACAGAGTATTTTAAATATATATATTTCTACACTCCTGTCAGTACAAACCAATTATCTGAAGTGTACAAAGATTTAGAATTTGAACTTTTTTCACAAGTTGCATCACCATGTATTAACTCAAATGAAGATGGCAACCAGAAATGATATCTGCTTATCACACCCATGAACCTGGTGGGCTGTGCAGCTGTAAAACTGTGAACATGTTAGCACCTGCCAAACTAAAGTCATGTAACATGGGTGTGAACCAAAATTCTGATGTGAAATTGAGATAATTTTGTGTGGATAAAATCCGTACAGAAACACTACACTTTAGGTCAAATACCAATGAGTAAACTCGCTTGTGTTCCTATTGCGCGCAGTCATCATCTAGTCAGCAATGGCGTCTCTGATATTTTGGATAAAATATTATAATAATAACAAAAGAAAAAGTGGGCTCATGCAACTTGAGGCGGGATCATAATGACTTTTTCAGGGCCAGTACATATTTCTTGTCTCAAACAAATCATGAGTAATTCATGTAATTATGAATCAGGAAGTGTAAAGAGCGACAAACTCCACATAGGGAGGAAGTCGGGTGGATGAATGGGTCTGTCTAAAATCACAGGATGTTCACCCAGGAGATCGCTGATCGTGTCCCATGTGAAACCACGAGCCACCGTGATTTACAGCCAAAGTCCTGATTACATCACGGTGCAAAACAAAAGGAAAGACTGGAGGCAAACACGAATCACCTCAGAGTAGTGGGATAAAGTTACACATTGAAAATGTCATGTCACTGTGATGTTGGGTGCCAGAGACAATAATACGTAACGTAAAATGATAAACTGATTCTAGGCTCTAGCGAGCTACAATATCAGCAAAGAGTTTCAGAGATGGAGAGAAAAAGTAGCTAATAGTTTTTTAGTAGATTTTTGTTGAGGGAACCAGTGTGATGTCAACCGCCTGGTTGGCCTACAAAAGGCCTCATAACTGCTCCACTTTATTAGAGAGATGAAGAGATGGCCCGGTGTTGGTCATATTTAGCTAGCCATTTGCTAGTGGGCGTGGCTAATTCCGCCCTGCTTTTACACAACAGTGGTTACAGAAAATGAACCTAACAAAGTTAACACTTATCTGGCGATAGTAATGTGCTTTCCTTTGCTGTGACAAGAGTGAGTGGATGAAGCATTCAATTGTTACATTTTGGTCATTTAGAGGCTGACTAGTTACTTTGGCTAGCTACTAGCTAATTCCACCATGCGTTAATGCTAACATTACACTGATTAAAGTAGATGAGTCCATTAGGCGGCTGATGGCCAGCACAGTGCTGGGTCTACGGTCCCATTACAGCCAGTACTTTCCTTTGATTTTGCTTGGAGATGTCCTATGTAAAACTCATGATACAGCAGGAGTAATATTTGTGTTTAGTGGCAGGACAGAAGACTGTTAAAGGATTATAAACATGCCCTTAAAAAAAAAAGTCTTGTTCAACAACTTGCAGCAGTTTAACTCCTCAGTTTTTGTCAAAACTGTAGATCTAATGCATAGGTTCAATGTAGTAATTGACTTGACAGCCTGGAAGTTAAAATTGGTGATTACATGATAGGCAAAAAATGGGGCTAGTAAATAGAATGAGCAATAACCAGCTTTAGAGACACACAAGTAAAACATTAATACAAGTACATTCAACTGTAATAACCTTGAGTTCTGAATGTTTTTTCTTTGTGAATTGACCAAAACAAAAATGGAATTAATACCAATATTTGCCAGGGTTGGAGTCTAACGCTGGTTAGGTTGGTTCACCAATGTGCTCACATTATTTGAGCAGCAGCATAGTACATTTCATTGAAATGCAGGGGGAGAGATCATGTTATCTCTGCTCACACAAAGCATGCCTCGCATTTCCTCCATTGTGTGTGCTGAAGGATCCAATGGAGAGGAATGGGTTTCTTTAAGGGAAGGAAAGGTGACACAACACCTTCCCCAAGCTTACTTACAGGACTCGGTAGAATAAATGACACATGGCTAAACACAGGAAAACGGGTTAGCATATTCAGGGGTGATTTGGGGTAGACTCCTCGAAAACAAGGTACAGAGTTGTACGCTAAAATTACACGTACAGCATCGAAAGTCACAACTCTGCACTTTGCTTTGTCAGAGCGGAGCTTAATGAGCTCAACAAATAAAAGACATTGTTTAAGTGCTTGTCTCTGTTCTCCATCACCAAAGACCAAACTGTTGCTAGCTTGGGAAATAACAAGCACTGCCAACAAGCACTTGATTAGCAGTGACCACAAGCCGAAAGGGGTTCCGGGTCATTGTTGAGTAGGGAAACATTAATGATCCTCTACAACAATAGCCATATCATTAAGTGCATGCACAGAACTTACAGTAAGGGTAGGGTGGGAGACGGGGCATCGGGCACTAAAACAATCACATACCTCTTTTCCCTGTTCAAACATTTCCCCGCAAACCAAATAAATCATTGAAATAAAAAGCAGAGAGGGAATAAGTCAACTTTCAATAACAAAAGTCACAAAAGAGAATATGATTTACAGTAATGTAGATAGCACAGCATTCACAGGAAGCTGCTAGAAAGAGAGGATGGGTTAAGGGATTCTCAAATCAAAACAAACCTTCAAAATTCATGTTTTCTTCATGTGCACCTCTTTTCCCTTTGATCAACAGAAATGCTTTGTATTTGACATTTGGAATCTGAATGAACATGAAACTTTTACAGTCAAAAGGAGTAAAAAAATACTATTTTCTGAAACTCATCTTTAGATCCCTTTTAGGTAACTTGATGATTTTAGAAACGGTACCGGAGACAAAGGTAAACATTGTCAATTGAAAGTCCACAAATGTTTGTTTTTTAAGTCAATCAACATGCTGAACATAAACCTGTCTGTGACTGATGAATCTGATGTAGCAGTTTGGGAGACAACACCTGAAAACACTGACAGAATACTCTAAATGAATTTTGGCATATCTATTGGCATATTTCTAACCAGACATATTGCAGCATCAGGCTGTTAGGATAACTTTTCTTTTTCTACAGTTCCTCCTACATTGCCATCAACTGGTCAACAGATGGCGTTAGACTGGTTGTAGCCAGTTTTCGAATGAATTTCATAGAACTCAGCACGTTTTAGGATAACCGTGTTCACTTTTTCTTTTCAGGAACCATGTGGGTGTTAAAAACTAAATTTGGATTTCATTTGGAGCATACTGCCAGCCTATAATAGAGGGTTTGCAGGTGATATAATGCACTCTTTGTTGCTGTGTCATTATTGACATGGACAGTAATGCTGGGCCGTATGACCAAAGATGTCTTTCACGGTATTTTGTAAGATTCTGGCGGTTTCACGGTATATCACGGTATTTATTTTCCGTGTTAACGCATTAATTAATTAACGCCGAAAACTAACACAAGAACCGGCCAGCCAACCGGCCAGCCAACCGGCCAGCGAGCGGTGAACAGCTGTTTGTTTGGCGTGTCTTCCGTCACCTCCTGTTTCCTTCACCTACACTCCCCTGGGTCCTAAGTCCCTCCAGGTACAGCTTCTTATCACCCTCTATGTACCAATGTACATTTATAACAAATACCACACATATTACTGTATTCAGCGTTGCATATGTGTCTGACCAAAATACCCAAAAAAGCATCCGAGGACCGTAATCGCATACACTCTTCGTATTCCAACACATGTTTTCGGGCTGAGGTGATGGAGTAAATTGCTAGTGTTGCCACCAGAGGCAATAACAGCGGCTCGACAAACTTTACAATATATCGTCTTTTGATCTACGTCGGATTTTTAAAAAACAAAAAACCTCCAAACAGCAGACGCAGCTCCTCTCTTGGGCGCAAATTGTATTGGTGCATCTCTGGTCTCTCTTTTCTGTTCTTTAATGTAGCGACGGAGCTTCTTCTAGCTGTTAGCAGACTGTTGTGCTAGCGGGCTAGCGAGCTGTACCCTGCATGCCATTCAGCGGTGTAATTTTATAAATGTACAATTATTAGTGTCACAAACTGTTTATGTGTCACAAACTGTTGTGTCGTGGTGTTTTGCCCTGTTAAAGAGCGTTAGTTGTGGGTTATTAAGTTATAAAGTTATAACCATGTCTAGGGGTCCCTCTCAATACACTTAAGATAACTAGCTCCGACCGTAGCGCTACCAGCTGCGAACAATATATTCTGCTGCCTGTTGAAGAGCGACAGCAGTTGTTTTGGCTGTGCACCGGTATGACGGTGTGTGAAAAATTGATATCATACGAGAAATTAAAACTGGTATACCATTTCAACCGGTATACCGCCCAGCACTAATGGACAGTGAAAAGAAAATCATCTCCACCTGTTTGATAGCTAGTGATCTTGTCAACTAAACATCAATATATGTTGCAGTTACCATCTGATTAGTACACGAGTCAATATTTCTTGATCGGGCCATTGTTAGTGCTGTCCTCTGTCTAGAAATGTTTAAAGATTGCTACTGTGTGTGTGGGGGGGTTATCCACAATGCGGCCTTTAGTTGTACAGCAATAAACTGGTGCTAATGCCTAAAGCTTTGTTTTTACTTGCGGTCAGCACCGCAGCACGAGCTTCTGCAGATGTTGCGAGGCATTTATACTCTGTGCGATGCATTATTCTGTGAAACGCCAGAGGGCGTACAAACAAAATGAACAGTGAAGAATCAAAATGACGAGTATGTGTAAGCCATAGACTGTAGGTGTAACTGGCAAAAAGCCATAAACCAACCTCCACAATGCTAAGTAAAGGGTGATTATACAAGAATTCTGATAAATAATGTTCTGAATTATACAAAAGAATGTCAAGCAGGCAAAGCTACATATGTGAGCTGGATATGTAAGGCTCTTTATGGATATTATAGCAATGTTCGACCAAGCTTAACATGCTATAGTAAGTGGATCACTATTTTCAAATGATTCAGAGCCTGCTGATAGTTTTCCTACTTGCATACACGTTCAATGCTATCCTGTTGAGGTATTTAACATGCTTCCTTCCACTTTCATGTCAGAAAACAACACATTTTAAGTTATGGCTGAGTGTTATCTGTGTGCAGGTGGATATTACAGTGAATTGATTACTGTAAATAAGTAATTTAAGAAACAGAACAATCATTTTCATGATGTAGGAGACACATTTTCTTCATTTTAAAATGACTGAATTAGCAAACTTTTCCTTAGATGGTGTGTGTGTGTGTATGTGTGTGTGTGTGTGTGTGTGCAGATGCACTGACCTCAGCATGGTGTTCCTCATTTTGCTGAAGCACCTCAATCACCAGCTCGGCCAGGCGAATATTGTCCTCCAGTTTTTTAGCAGGGGTGACTAACCGCCCTACATTCTCTGGAGCACAAAGGTCAAGGGTCAATGTGGGCAGAGTCTGATCAGCAGCTAAACCTTCTTTCTGTTTCTTGTTACTAATGTATGCATGCAACCCACAGGGATTAAACACATCCCTGGTCTGAGATATAAAAGTGTATCTTGTTTCATACAGTATTTAGATCGTTAAAAAAGAGTACACAGCATGCATGTTGCCCTGACTACTCCTAAACACTGGAACTAGAGGATTAAGTCACTCACAAATTTTGGATAGCTGTTGTGATCCTTAGCCCAGTCTACAGCCTCAGCCTGAATCACTGGGAATATCTCACAGTCATATTCAAAATACAAGCATGAAATATCAACTTGTTATAATTAGGGCTGGGTATCAGACCGCAGTGCTTTAGGACTAAAGACCGCATTGTGTTTGTAGCATGGAGAATATAATAGTGTGAATAAAGGAGCAGTGTGAAGGATTTGGTGGCATCTAGCGGTGAGATGGATTTAGAACACCAGCCACTTCTTCTTCTTCTGCCATTTAAACGTTAAAACACGAAGGCCTTCTCTAGTGCCAGTGTTTGGTTTGTCCGTTAAGGGCTACTGTAGAAACCCGTCGCATTCTAAGTAGATAGAAACGGCTCATGCTAAGCTAGTGAAAACATTCTTAGTTTCAGGTGGAAATACACTAAAGAAAACATAGTAATAAATATTACATTCCTGCTAATAGATCCCCCTCAATCCTACACACTGCTCCTTTAAGGTCAGATTCTGGCTGATTTCACTCATTATGGTGTTAATGGACCATATTTCCTTGAAGCAAAGATCATGTGCAACACGTTTTACCTAGCCCTAGTTATACTTTAATTCTGGGGTTATTACATATTGTTAAAGCATTTTTGCAATCGGCACTATCCCTGTGAGTGCTAGAAGCACTGCTGGGTGGCTGGAAGTGGTGATGGCCCGAGATACGTATGTAGTGACTGATGCACATCTCTGTCACTTTGACGGTGCAGTGATGATGTCATCCAGAGGAAACATGGCGTGATAAGGGATGCAAACAGCATGTACATTGAACACTCATCATGCAGCAATGTGGCGGTTATGTTGTGCTCATCCCTACAGTATATCTGACTTTACAGTCTGATTGGTTTGAGTGGGGGAGTTGCATGTACTTGCATTAAGAGTAGACGTAGACTGCACTGAATACAACTTTGTCTTCCATACTTTGACGTTTAGTATGTTCAGTGAGAGGCTTGAATTTATACCACAGCCTGAGAATGTAATAGTTGACAGATGCCTGGCGGGTTTAACTAAAAATGAGTTCAACTGACTGTTGGTTTTGAAAAGGACTATCTTTATAAGAGGCCATGTTATAAGCATGCACTCCAATGTATTCCTGATATGGAAGGTAATGGATTCTGAGGTAGAAACACCAAGACTTCAAGCAGAATGCCTGAAACATCCAATCAGCAAGATTCAATTCTGTTGTAACAAGTGTCAGGGTAAAGTTAGAAGTGAAGCTTTGTAGAAGATGGTGATTCAATTCAGGGATTTGAATCAATTCACATTTTGATTTAGTTTTATATCTATTCAGTAGCTATGGCACATTGCTGTTTCTGTCTGCAGTGATGAAGCATTTTGAAAATGCTGCAATTGTGATTTCTCAGCTCTGTCTGAAATCTTCTCCATAGCAGGGGCTGCTAAGGCTACTGCATTACCCACAACCCACTATGGTCTGACGTCTCATGAGCATGCCTGAGGTAGAGCACATTACAGGCTGCAGCTCATTGCTGCAGCAGTTCCCCTTGCTGCTGGATGCTGGATTTCCTTAACATGTCAAAGCAAGCCACTAATTACCTAGCCTATTTGGAAATGATTAAATCCAGAAGTTGTATTTTACCGGTATTTCTGAACATGTGTAGACGGACATGGGCGTGTTTTTCGCATCGATCAGAACTGTAATTCACCAGTGTTCACGACCACGAGTAGCCATAGTGGGCTGTTTTTTCCCCCTTGAACCAAAGTGTATTTCACCTGTGTTCATGACCACGAGTAGCCGGACTTGGGTCTGTTTTTTCCTGTGAACCAGGTCGAATTTCACCAATTTTCATGACAGCAAGTAGCCGGAGTGTATTTCACCTGTGTTCACGACCACGAGTAGCCAGACTGAGGTTGGTTATTTTTCCTTGAACCAGAGGTTATTTCACCGGTGTTCATGGCCGTGAGTTGCATGCTCCCCCGGGAGAATTTTATTTTAAATATGAGCTTTAAAATGTAACATTCTGGAGTACTCTGAAGAAAATTAAGTGATAAGACATTTACTTTAAGTAAGAAACTAATTTATTATTCAGTTATTAATCAGTATTTCAGCTCTATTATTATTATCAACCTTTATTTAGACAAAATCCATTGAGACCGAGGTCTCATTTTCAAAAGTTTTAGTCATAAAAAACAAAGACAGCAAGAGTAGAGAGAACCATCGCCTGTACAAATAAAGTGATTAGTTTTCATTGAACCCTGTTACTGTACGGCTTAATATTAACTTCCACTGTTACTGTAAAGCTATTATAATTGTGGCCTATCTTCTATTTGCAATTAATGTTCATTCAATCCAGTTCAATTATTTAAATGAAAATGATAATCTACTCTGGCTAAGGTACCTTATGAAGAGTAAAATAATAGCTGTGATCTATACACACCTCTGCATTAGCAACCTGCTGAAATGAAGGTACAGGCACCTTAACCCTCTCATTACTTCAGGGTTCTTGGGAGCAACGTGGGACTGTTGCTACACTGGCTGTGGTCATCACAGTGAACAGTGTGAACAGTGTGATGAGAGGGCATGTGAGCCCTTGTTGCTGTAGTTCATCTCATGGAGCAGAGGCTGCATTTAGCATACCCTGCCTTATCAATGCATTTAAAACACTGTGACAGCAGGAAGCTGCACTCACGTCTGTTTAGACCTCCACCTTTATCCAGGCCCAGCTCCACCTTTATCTAGACCCACCTCTACCTTTATCTAGACCCACCTCCACCTTTATCTAGACCCACCTCCACCTTTATCCAGGCCCAGCTCCACCTTTATCCAGGAACCACCTCTACCTTTATCCAGGCCCACCTCCACCTTTATCCAGGCCCAGCTCCACCTTTATCCAGGAACCACCTCTACCTTTATCCAGGCCCAGCTCCACCTTTATCCAGGCCCAGCTCCACCTTTATCCAGGCCCAGCTCCACCTTTAACCAGGCCCACATCCACCTTTATCCAGACCCAGCTCCACTCGCATCTCAGCCCTGCATCAAGCTGCGCTACACAACCAGCATCCTCTCCCTGAAGCTTTGACCTCATCATCTCATCAGTATCTGGGCCTCATCATCGTGGTCATGAAAGTTATTCTGACCACAAAATCATCCTCATTCTAATTTGAGTTATGTGTCATGTGTCGAAATCCCTGAGCAAGACACTGAACCCCTGGCTCCCCGGGTGCCTGTCATTGGCAGCCCACTGCTCCCTATATACAGGTATATATGTGTATATGACAATAAAAAGGGTTTCTATTAACACAACAGAACTTAAACTGTAACGGAGGAAAATGAAGACGCTGTACACATCTGAACGCTGATTGGTCAAAGATGTTCTATTGCGAAGATCACGACATCACCTTTTCTCCTCGTCTCACTCCAATCTGAGAAACGCTGGCTGGCCAGTTGACCCCCCCCCCGTTGACCCCCCCCGAAAAAAACCTCTACGGCTCTACTCGATTCACGTGGATGATATATTTTGATTCAAACGGCGAATTTCGCCGAAAAGCGACAAGTTTGCAGGTATGATATGAATTTTCGATGGCGCGGCGCGATGGACGCGAATTTGCGAATATTTCGCCGAAGTTGAAAAATTTCAACTCACGCATTTGGGGCGATGGCCGATGGACGCAACATCGCCCCAAATGCGTGAGTTGAAATTTTTCAACTTCGGCGAAATATTCGCGTGAAGTCAGTTGCTTCCCCTGTCATCACTGACTTCCTGCCGTTGTTGAATCAGGAAACACATACTGTAGCCGTCTGTGTTCACCCAGAGCTCTACGATACCTCATATCAATAGAGACCGGACCAAACTGTGTGTATACATGTGTGTGTGTAAACCATATGGTACAAACAATGAATAGATGCTGCCGTATTTACGTCTACATGACGTTATTGAGTGTTGGTGGAGCTGCTACAATGTTAGCATAGCCTAGCACTGATCCATCAGAGCTCCATTGAGAAGACAAGTAGCCTACAAATCTGCATCATTACGTAGTTGTTTCGGAGTCCCTTTTTGTCGGTTTATTGCCGTTAAATCACAGCCAAATCAGTTTATTTTGTGTTCATACAGCTGTAGTAAACTGCGACCTGTGGCTTGCTAGACACAGTGAATACAGCTCGAAAAAATCCACGGAGCTCCTCTGGACAATGTTATGAACCAGACATGACGGCGTTTAGTTTCCCGGGATATCTGTGACTTCCACAACATGTACTAAGCAGAACTAGAGGTTATTTTTTCCATGGTTAATGGCAGACAGTTGAACGGCTTTCAGGGCGATAAGCCGCGCCCCCTCTCCGGCGCGTCCAGCGCGATTCGCGCGAATGTACACAAATGGTCCCCGGCGAGACCGGCGGCGCGATTGACGCGAATTTGGTGTGAACACGGCATTACCCGAGAGCCCCCCCCCCCCGGGGGGCTATGGAGAAAGTTTAGCGTACAACGTGTCGTACAATGCACTTCTCAGAAATGAATATAATGAATGTTACACACATGTTATATACCCACTTAACGAAGAGATTCTGGGTAACAATATCATGGAAGCCATTTCACACACTGCAATCACAATTATATACAAACTAATATCATCAACTAGAAGATGTACCACAATACCACGTATTTTTCGCCATGACTCGGCGAGCTACGCACTCCGGACAAAGCTACGAACACAAAGCTAAACGCTAACACGGACAACCAATACATCGGAAAGCAAGAGAATTCGACACAGAATCCAGAGATATCTTCAGAATTTCTCTCCGTGAAACCATTACAAAGATACAGCCAACAAGCAACACAACAACAAGCCGCTCCACCGCAGAACAAATCATAGATGCTCCTTACTTTGAGAAGAATCATGAAGACAAAGGAATAATATCCCGTTTCCCTTCTAAAAACACTGTTGCTACGTATATCCTGTGTGTTTTCTGAGCTGTTTCCTGAAGAAAGGGGGGTCTGACAAGCATGGGGGACCGGGGGGAATCACTTTTGGCGAATGAAATTTTACACTCCGCAACGCACGGCGCATTTTTGATTTTTACTGGCTAACGATTCTGTCAATCACCACCAGCTTATGCCCACTGTCTTCTTGAAACTCTGATGCGTCGAACGAGGTCTCATTCACTCAAATCGACCAATCATAGGCTGAGATAGCCTCACATAGACACAGGCAAACAGCAGTCAGACGAGGATGGATCCATGTTTCACAGCTCAGAGAGGATCGAGGCTGTCAAAATGACGCAAAACTGCTGTATTTGGATAGATTGAACACTATTAGTGATAAAACAAGTGAAATATATAGTTATATAGTATATAAAATTACAATGGAACAACTGGAACAGCTTGTTCCAAAATGACAATTTTGCTTGACCTCGCCTGACCTCTCTGTACTAAAACCTCTCTAACTTTTTTATGCTTCACTTTATCAAAGTCAACATTTGCATAGAGACTGCTGACATGTTGTGCTGTGATTTGGGAGTGCTTTTAGGCTTGGAGCTGCATTATTTCAAAGAAATAATATCAATAAAAGTACTTTTTTTTCAGGTGAACCTGAAACTTTTCAATTTGAGCTGTGTGCCATCTTCATTTACTCTTAACCAGTAACAGATACACTGATATTTACAGATCTGAACAAATCTCACAGGTGTTACCTTTATTATAACATCAAAATTATTCATATAGACCTTGCAGTTGGAGAAAGACACTCTTTTTAGTATGGGTATGCAATTTTCGAGCAGAGGCCTAAAAATAGGGCTAGGGTTAAACGGGTTTTAAAAGTGTACTTTTGGAGACAAAGGAACAATTACTTTATTTTTTATTTCATGAAATAAAAATATTTTTTAGAATGGAATCAAGCTTTGTTAGATCTAATCAGGACGGCAAGTGGACAGCTTCATTATGTCAACCTGAGACAGGACAGCTCAAATTTCATGGTCATGGTTTTTTATCATGAACCGCTTCACTGGCATGTATTATTTTATGACTTATACAGATGTGTTCTGACATGTTGGAAGTTTGAAGGCCTTCTTTAACCGAATATTGTCCAACTTGTTGCCAAGTTCAGTTTTCCGTGGATTGAGTGCTTGCTCACTGCTCATTTGCCATCAGGAATTATATCTTTTCTTTTTTTATTCCTATCTTAAAGAAAAGGCAATGTCTTGGATCTAAATCATTTAAATGTCACCTGCATGCAAACAGTGTTTTCTTCCATGTTTGGATGTTTGCACTCGTTTGTCGCTCTTTTGGGTTACTCAACAACAGAAGTGACTTTAACTAGCAACGTGTGAATTATCTTAAATATTTCTCTTTCCATTTGTCAATCATCAACTCATTTCTGCTCCCCTGTTGTGTTTTATCAACGTTACATCGGTTACAATGCTTTTTACAAATGGTTATCATTTGGGTAAGGCCCAATTGGATCTAGTATCTTACATAATTGTGAAATTGCAGTTCAGTTTAATCATTACAAACTTATATTCTTGCCAATTTCCACCAAACGTTTTGAATTGTGTTATTTCTTATATCTTCTGATTCTCAATGGAACTGATTCATCTCAACAAAGGGTCCTTCGCCAGTCTAATCATTTAGTGCAGTGAGAAACACCACATGGGGGGTGGAGGGGTCACAACGTTCCTGAAACATGTTCTGTGAAGTTTCTGTGCCTTTGCTGGTCAATGTCCAGGTATCAGGAAGGTGGTGACAGGGTCTATGGTGGTATGGTTTAAGTCAGATGAGCTAACAGCAGAGGTTAGACATACAGTACAATGTCACCTGCATCCTCCAGAGTTTTCTCCACTAAGAAACAGTCAATTTGTTAAAAAAAAGAATAGGTTGCATGGATGGATAGAAGGTAGAGAAAGGTGGGAAAGTTTCAGGTGAAGGGTGAGAAAGAAGAGATTATTCAACACAGATAGTATAAACTGAGGCTATGGAAGAATAAAAGTAAATGTTAGATTGACTGCTCAACAAATATCTGCAGCCTCGGTTTTGTCTTAAAGTGTAGTTTACGATATAGAAAGAAAAAGAAAAAGGACACAAAACACAAAGCATCTTCACTTTGACCTAAAGCCCAGTATGCAGAAATCTGAAAAGGCATAAAAACCTGTTAAAATAGTTATAATAAATGCCATCAGTATCAGCATTTCATGGCGGCCTTAGTCCAAAGAAGTTCCACTCAAACGATTGAGCACTATGATACCCTTTATATAAGTACAGGATGTGGGGGTCCTGTTTGAATGTACCATGATCTTAAACACTCAAAGGATTTACACACAAGCAAAGTAAAAATGCATTCAAGTCGCAGACAGACAGGTGGTTTGGGCGGGACAGAAAACAAGCTCATAGAAAGATCAGACAGGTGCTTTTTGTGGCTAAGCAACAAATTGAGCTTAAAAGAAATCAAGAAACTGTAACTGTAGACTTTACAGACTTAAACAAAAGATACAAACAAACCAAAGGACATCAGGGACGACAAACATGTGAGTTTGCTTGTTGTTGTTGGCGTGCATACTGGTTGTAGAGGAACATAGAAGGGTGCAGAAGTGTGGGGCTGGGGAATGAGGAAGGTACTCACGAATGGTTAAATCCATCACTTGAGACGCCAAGCAGAAGACAGGATGCTCATACATCTCTCTCTTTTTCCCTACAGAGAAAGAGGGAGGATACCGAGGCATGCGAGAGGCCAGGGTCAGAGAGGCGAGCACACAGGGCACGAGGGTTTGACCGATGTGAGGCTTTCATGGTCCATACCTGCATTCTTTGTACTGCTATTTATTATCTTACAATTCCACACATTGCATGCCATGAAAGCATATTGGCGTATCACTATTCAGTTAATTCTAATCTAGAATGTATTTTAGCAAAGGTGCAATATGTATCATCTTCACATCTCAAATAAATATGAACAAATTAGAAATAAAATGAGTCCCAACAAAACAATGTCTGATAAATCATTTTCAATCATTATTTTCTCATTTTCGAGATCCCAACTACAACTGATCCTGTGATTCCTGTCTAATCCTGTAGACTTTCTATCATTTGTCGATACTTGCAGGTAGTAGTTCTGTTCCCAATTCCTATAGTCAATTTTACATATATCAGAATTATATTCAAAATCTGATAAAAAATGATGTTCTGGTTGGTATTCTATGTATTTGTACAGTAAAGCAAAGTCCCTTTGAGATGTAAAAACTCATCACATAAAATGCCATGTAGAAACTGATATCAGTGACTAGATATTCATATTTGTTACAATGATAGATAATAGCAATGAATGAATACATTCAAATGAAGATTAAAGCTACATATAGCACCTTTGACAGCTCTGCTAACAAATGTGTTGTCAAACTGCATCAAATCATTCTGAGTTGGAATGTCACCATATTCATGATTTTCATTGATATGCTAGACAACTAATCAGGCTCATCTTAGTGCACACTTTCCTGTTGTGAGCTATTTGGGGACAGGCAGCTGAGATTTTGCAAGTTGACGAATTTTGGCAGATGGCCGCATACAAGGGTCCAAATAGAGCGTGTCCATGCTCTTGTGTCTGGGGCTCAAAGAGAGTGGGCTGCCTACTTTGGATTAACCATTCGTTCTGCCAAGCAGAGGTCAAATCTGAGATATCAGAGTTTTTTCCCCATATGCCAGGAAGCACACCAGTATGCATGAAAGGAGTTTTGGGGACAATCAACAATCACAACTGACATACTGAGGTTCATGTTCCTTAGTGGCTTCAGTGAGGTGATGGTCTCTTTACAGACATCGTCTTGAAATGACCATTTTAAGTAGTTCGGCATCAATTTGACCAGCGACATTTTGGGGAACATGCTTGTTTTCTGTCTTGTACTTCTATCTGATCTTAGCAAGGAAACCTGCCCCTGATCTGGCCTGAATGCAGTCAAACACTACTTGGCTTTGATCTACAGGAGAATCAATTATAATTGACATTAAATACAGTTATCGAGTCAGAAGGAGGAGTTGTAATTGAAAAAACTCCACCTGCCAACTTCAACACGGATTAATTGTTCACAATGTAGCTTTATCAGAGACATTTTCTGTCGTCCCTGGGACAACGTTAGTTTTGGGCCCTGATCCCACATTTTGTGTATTTGGGACATTTACAGCTGGACACATTTAGCTGCAGGAACAGTGAGCCTTCAAGCTGTTTTTCAAAATAAATGACCAACAGGTACCGTGTCTGTGGCGTTTCAAAAGACCGGTCCTTAGAAAGAAGTTACCAGGTTTGAGCTCTGTCCTGTTAACAGAAGCCGGATATCTCTTGATCGAAATGATTTCTAGCTACCAAATTAACAAGATGCAAAGATGCAAGGTCTGCAAAACAGTTATGATGCTTACTAAAGGAAACCTGCACCATGCAACAGTAAAATACACTGAACTCAACAAAGAGCAGTCCCATCGTGTCTTGTTTATTGACCTTCCTGTTTTCAAACAGCAGCTAATGAGATGCAGCAAAAGCCAATAGACAAGGAAAAGAGAGGAAGGGAGTATGGAAATCCTCAGAGAGCAAGGAAGAGGGAAAAGAAGGAGGATCACTTCAACTACCAGGCAGGTCAAAGTGGGACACAGAAGCCGCTCAGGACTCGGCTAAAAGAGCGGCTGAGGTATGGTGGAAAGAAGTCAGCATAAAGATTGAATTGAATGCATTTTTACTTACTGTAGGCTACATTTGCTACTAGCATAAGCTGAGGATAAGCAAAATAAAAATAGCATTTGTGTTGAAATGACGGTCACGCCATTAAGAACACTTTGACAGAGCATGAGGGGCTTTAGCTGCAGCTGGGAAGAAAAAATGAGGTTAGGCTTTGTTTTGAAATTCAGAATTGAAACTCGCAATAAAATAAAGTAAAGTATTGTATAGCTGCTTTGTTCTAAGGACAAAAAGCTCCATGTGCTCTAGTTGTATAGAAGTCAATCCTAAATTAGTCAACCGAGGCAGAAAAGGCTTCATTGTTTTCCAAAATGTCAAGCTCAATAATGCTGTAAAGATTAGAATTTGACTGCATGAATGAAAAAAGAAATTCCCATCTGAGCATGGCTAAAAAAAACTATTGTTCTATTTCATCCTTACTGACCGCTAGAGGCAGTGCTTCACACTGGATATCTTCTGTCTCGCGCATGCGCAGGTCGAATATTTATACCAACAAAGTCACATGTGACCTCGGATGACCCCCGTCGTCTACAAGTTCCAGTGTCATCCTGAGCTCAGTCCTTTTTCATCTTCTCGCTACGCAGGTTAGCTACCATGGTAGCATAAACAAGATGTGTCTACGATCAAGACATATTAGAGCTTGTCGCTGTAGCCTTGTGACCACCGGTCGGAGTTGCGGTTTCTCGCCCTCCAAGGGCTGCGACAAGCTGTCCCTCTTCGGAAGGAGCGGTGTGTTCGCCGTTCGGACATCGAGCCCTGGACCGGTGGACGCCCCTATCATCGGTCGTCACCAGTCTGATAAGGGCCACCTCGTGAAGACAGCAATCGGTGAGATCGATTAACATTGTTTTCTATAACCGTTGTTCGTTTTCCACGGTTGGCAGAGCGCTTCCGCTCTAGCTAATCGAGTGGCGTGCTAACGAGAGCGTAGAATATACGCTGTCGGGCCGCCCTTCACAGTGAGCAAAGTGTCCTGCTCAGGCTAACTTGATGAGATGCAAGTTCAACTAGATCGACATTAGCATTATGTCCACTGGTTTCGTAACATTACGGCTATCACAGTTAGCAGAGTGTTCCCGCTCAGGCAAACTTGATGAGATGCTAGTTCGACACTAGCATTAGGTCCACTGGTTTCGTAACATTACGGCTATCACAGTGAGCAGAGTGTTCCTGCTCAGGCAAACTTGGTGAGAGACTAGCTCGACTAGATCGACATTGGCATTGTGTCCATTGAGATTTAGTTTTTACATCTGACATAATTCACAGTTAGCAGTGTCTTCACTCAGGCTAGCTTGGTGAGATGCTAGCTAGACAAAGCTGATACTGGGACTGTGTCCATCAACTTTGTAACCTTACGGCTGTCACAATTAACAGAGCATCTCCGCTCAGTCTAACTCAGTGGGACGCTAGCTAAACAAAGCTGATACTGGAACTGTGTCCATCAACTTTGTAGCATTACAACTATCACAGTTAGCAGAGTGTTCTCGCTCAGGCTAACTCAGTGAATGCTAGTTATACTAAATCAACATTGATGTTGTGCCCATTGATGCTTTTTACGCATTACGGCTGTCGCAGCTGGGAGTGTCCTCATTCAGGCTAACCTGGTGGGACACTAACTAGACTAAGTTAATACTGGGATTGTGTCCATTGATTTTGTAACATTACGGCTATCACAGTTAGCTGAGTGTCCTCGCTCAGGCTAACTGGTGGGACACCACTATTTACAAGCGACAGTCCTAGTGAGGAGTGTCCTCGCTCCCCTCTCACTGTAAAAACTGTTTTGTTGGTCTGTTTCCACAGTAGCAGAGTGCTCTCGCTCAGGCTAACTGGTGGGTCACCAATATCCACAGCGACTGTCCAAGTGAAGAGAGTGTCCGAAAGGATCACTCTCCTCTGACTGCCCCCTGCCTGTTCTCTCAACATTCAGCAGAGCGCTCCCGCTCAGACTGATTTGGAATTCCGCATCAACTAGTGGGACAAGGGTTCCACCAGAATCGCGGCCATGTTAAACTCTCCCGGCTGTAGGACCTGTATAGCTCCTCTTCAGCCTGAGGACGGGCCTGACCTCTTGCCTTAGCCTCGAGCATCTGAGGGAGGGCCTCTCGGAGAACCCAGGCAGGACCTGCGGCATCACGCCTTGAGCAGTAAGGTCTGCTAGGCTGGCCGAAGTGGAACACCTGATGCGTGAGGTCTACCTCCCCCTGTCAGGGCAGCTGAATCCAGCCCAACCTACCCTGATCATTTGTATGGCGCTGGCACGCCTACAGTGGGATACACAGCAGCTGGAACTTCCACCTGTGAGTGCCTTCTTCAGGCGCCTTCCCGCCCTCACCGCCTTTTCTGTTCCTCCCTCCGAGGAATATCTGAGGGAGTTGCATGCATGCTGGAGAGACACCAGCCTTGCATCAGATGGCTAACCCTGACGGCCATGCAGGAGGTGGCAAAATTTGGCCTTGCACATATGCCAGCCATTTAGCCGACTATTCATCATAGTTTCCCCTGAGGAGACTCTGAGGCCCGATGCCAGGTGCCCTCAACCCAACGTCGGGTCAAAGATGACCTGCTATCCAGGGCTTATGGCACAGCAGGGCTGTGCACCGTATCGACAACTCCCCCTCCCACCTCATGCTTGCCCTCGCAGCTTGTCTGCAGCACGCTACTTCGACGCTTCTGCCTCCAGCCTCAGTGATGCTTCATTGCAGGCGTTTGCGCTCATGTCGAGGGAACTTGGACGTATGATGTCCACGCTGGTCCAGACTCGCTGCCAGGTTGGCTATCAAGCCACCCACTAGCTATAGTCACCCCTATCTGAGACATGTAGGAGGACCCTCTGTACTGTCCCAGTGGAACCTGGTGAGCTGTTCGAGTCAGCTGCTATACAGGCGCTTCAGCGAACTGTTGAAGCTAGCCAGACCAGGCAGCAGTTCTCTGGTCTTCGCAGGGACATGCCTGCACCCCGCAGACCTAGGGGTCCCACTTTGGCCCCACAAGGCCGTTTTTTTCAGCCTCCAGCTTACCCTAGTAGCCACCACATGCCTCAGCGTCCTGCTGAGAGGCTGGGCCGCTACCCATACAACCTCCGAACTTGGGGACGAAGAGTCGCCCCCCAAAACCCTCCAGAGGCAGGGGGACCAGGAGATGTCTCTGGGCCGGCTGTCGGGGTTTCTCCTCCCAGCAGCAGATTTCCAAGGGAGAGCGGTTCACGTCTATCGACGCCTATTCCCATGTTCCCATGGTGCATCACCACAGGCAGTTTCTACGTTTCGCCTTTTAAGGCCGCCACTTTCAGTCCAGGGTGCTTCCATTCGGACTCTCCCATCTCCCCATGGGTGTTCACAAGGTGTGTTACTGCTGTCCTTTCCCCCTGCAATCACAGGGCGTGAACATACTGCCGTACTTAGATGACTGGCTGACCTGGGCGCCATCCCGAAGCATGTGCTTGTCCGGTTGGACAACACCTCTGCTGTGATTTCACATAAACTATCAATGGGGCACCAGATCTGCAGAAGTTGCTACGGGGATCACCGTGCTCTTCTGTCTTGGGAAGCCCCTTGCCTGACCAGCCTGTGGGCAATGTACCCACCAGGAGAACGGAACCAGGTTGTGGTTTTCCTGTTCCGTCACAAGCCTCCACCGTGAGAGTGGCGGCTGCATCCAGACGTGTCGACCCACTGCCCCCACTGGGTCTCCCTGATGGAGAGGACCAGTCCTCTGGATCAAGATGCCCTGGCTCACACGTGGCCAGAGGATCTTCTTTATGCCTTTCCACCAGTCCCTCTGACTTTGCTAAACGCTTGTCAGAGTTCTTCCCCGACAGGAGGGATCTCCTGGCGCAACTAGAAGGTCGAATTTGGCAATCCAATCCCTGCCGCTTTCAACTATGGTTCACGGGAGGGCCCGACCGGATGCTGAGTGGCTGCATAGAACCAGTCAGACTGACTATTCTGAATGCCAGCGCGATCTACCTGCCTGCAGTACAAAAACAGGTGGAAGCTGTTCTCTGACTGGTGTGCGGCTCAGAACATGGTCCCAGTACAGCGCCCCGTGCTGCTGTACTGAGTTTCTACAGTCCCTCCTAGATAAGGGCCAGCCTCCCTCTACCCTCGGAGTATACGTGGCCGCTATTTCGGGGCAGCATACTAATGTCGAAAATGACACAGGAGACAGCCACGGACTGGTGTCCCTCTTCCTAAAAAAAAAAAAAAAAAAGGGGCTCTGCGATTGCGTCCCACGAGCACCCCGAAGGCCCCTGCATGGGACCTACCCTTGGTACTGGACACCTTATGCTTGTCTCCTTTTGAACCCCTGGCACAGGCGGAGCCGAGATGGCTATTGGCCAAAACGTTTTTTCTCCTTGCTGTCAATTCAGCTCAATGTGGGGCCGGGCTGCATGCCCTGTCAGTGAAAGAATCATGTCTGAGGTGGAACTCAAAGGGCTTGGATGTCACTTTGTGGCCTAATGCAGTATTTTCTCCCAAAGGTGTTGATACGTTCACATATCAACCAGCCTTATGTGGAAGCCACCGCCTGCATACGGAGCAGCTCTTTGTCAGTTATGGTGAGCCTAAGAAGGGCTGTGCTCCTTCTAAAAGGAAAAACAGTGCCTATCCCACTGGGTAGTGGAGGCCATTGCCTATACATACAAGGCGAGTGACTGCGCTCGGCCATCCGGGGTGAAGGGTCACTCTACCGAGAGTGTCCCCATGCCAAGGGCAGCCCTGAGAGATGTGCCTGTGGAGGATATATGTGCTACGGCCTCATGGGCATCACCGAGCAAATTCACCAAACACTACAGAGTTAACATTGCCACCCCTCACCCACTGGGGAGGGCTCTTTGGCCAATTTTCTCTGCCGGAGCTATACGAGGTAGTTACTGTGATTCCTCGTGACTCTTTTGGTATAAGTCATCCAGTGTGAAGCACTGCCTCTGGCGGTCATCCAGGATTCATAGAACCGTAGTTACATTCGTAACTTTCGGTAGACCATGATGTCTACACAACTTGGCTTGAAAAAACTCTACTTCCTCAGGTGATTGGTCAGTGTTTGTCACTGTTATTTAATCATATCCTTGCTTGGTCACATTTGGAGAACATGCATAGTACTATTAAATGACTCTCCCACAATGTCCTATAAGCTTTATTACAACAACCACATAATATAACCACATTGTGTAAGCTCCGCCCCACTGAGTTCAGAATCCCTCTCGGGCACTGCATTTACAATCTCTCACATCTGAACTCTCCCTGACTCAGCAGGTTAAGAGTTGTGTTTCAACTACAGTAGCTCTAACATGAAGGAGCAGTGACTTACCTTCCAGTTTGGCGTACTCCGACAGGCGTTGGTAGTTGACCAGAGCTGCCTGCTCCAGACACTTACGGATCACAGCCTTGACTTCCTCTTGTGGAACCGAAGTAACAATATCTTTCATCAGGACCTACAAAGAAAAGACACGGCATGAGTTTGTATTATCAGTGTACGGCAAATATATATCATCGCAAGACAAATGATGACAAATGTCAACTGGAACAAGTATGTTTGACTGAAAGACAATTCTAGCATCAGAAGGAAGTTCTGCTGCACATCAGGAGATATCATCAACTTTAAGAGGATAGAGAAAGAAGCGTTTTAAAAGGGAAACTAAAGGGAACGGAAGAACAATTCTGTCCAGCTGTAAAAGTGACTCACCCTCTCAAGCAACGACAAAGTTGCTTTTAGCGCTCCCTCTGGCCGTCCAAATGGAAAGCAGTACCTACAGTATGGAGGCCACAGATTGGATTTACATGTGAACCCTCAGCAGTCCAGTTTGGCATGAGATCAGCAAATGGTGCTTGTGCATGGTTTCTACCTGAAGTGTGTAATCTGGTTCTCCAGAAGCACCCGTAGCCTCTCCTTGATCTCCTCAAAGTGCTCCTTCTCTTCCACGGTTACCGTGCCAATACCATCAGGCCTGAAAGACAACAGCAGTTACAAGCAATTAAAGGTTTTGCTGTGTTGCCAGGCAGCCTGGGGAATGAAGAAGAGCACCAACTGACACAAGAGAGACTTTCAACCCTGATGATGAAGTTTGTATATCATTTTGGGTATCAATGTTACAAATACAAGTAAAAGACTTGAAACTAGAGATTGAGACCATAAACTCATGTTTACAATGTTTACTGAGGTAATAAATCAAGAGAGAATTAGAGTCATTTTCTCATAGACTTCTATACAACCAGAGGAGTCGCCCCCTGGTGGACACTAGAGAGAATGCAGGTTTGATGCACTTCTGCAATGACTTTACTATTCAGAACTGGAGGGTGCCACCTCTGTAAGAAACAAGATACAAACGAGCTCCACAGCCAGGACTCAGCCCCACAGGGTTAGAGTTCAAGTCCAGGATCTCAGTATTTAGCTCTTATCTTAGGGTGCCTTCACATTGGTAGTTTAGTCCAAATCTGGGATTAGTTCACCTAAAAATCTGGCAATAGGACTCTTTTCCTGAACTTGGGTTTGGACCAAGAAATTGGACCTGATTCCACCTGTATGAAAATGTCTTAGACAGGTTCCACAGAATACAACATCATTACTGCAATGGCATTCTTGAATGGTCAGCTGTTGATCTGTTGGTAAGTCTAGAAAATGCCTTGTTGATGTTTCTGCAGAGAATGCTGTAATGCAGAGCTGAACATCGTTCTCAGTTTCTCCTGTGTTAACGGCATAACCAGTCCTCATATAGAGCCAGATTTGATTAAATGTAACAACATGCGTTTTATGAGACATTCTGGGACATAACCCAAACCACAAAAAACAACTTCTTGCAGGTATTGGCAACAGAGACATGCAGATATAAGAGTGATGGACTCTGAGGTGCTGACTCTCATCATTACAGTAAACGTGATCAACAGCAATTAAAAAGGCAGCGTGCTTTATGATAAATACAAGCAGTGAGAATGCATAGCTTGCTCTGTACTACATCTCTGTACACACACACACACACACACACACACACACACAGTGTCAAAGAGACCATCAGTCAATTCAAATGACTGTATTTGAATGGCAAGCATGCCAAATTTCATAATGCAAAATTACTTTACGGGCTATGCTCTGCTGAAACAAATTACCATTGTTATACCATGTTATTATTATTATTTCAATATACTATACAGTGTAATGCTATTACAGTTATTCAAGCAGGTGTGTGTGTGTGTGTGTGTGTGTGTGTGTGTGTGTGTGTGTGTGTGCGTGTGTATTTGTGTGTGTGTTTGTGTGTGTGCATGCAATGTGTTTATCGCTTCTGACATGGTTGGGTCTGGGTGGAGTGTGAGCAGAGTGCATGTGACAGAAGAGACGTTGGACTGGTGGCCATGACAGCATGATGAGAAGCAGGAGACATGACACTCTCCTCTCTCTACCCTCTCAACCCCCCCCCCCCCCCCCC